CTTAAAGCCCTCCGCCTGCTCGAGAGTGTGGGGGTCGCAGAGGAAGCAGCAAGGGAGTGAGTGAGTGAGTGAGTGAGTGAGTGAGTGAGTGAATGAGTGAGTGAGTGAGTGGATGAATGAATGAGTGAATGAGTGAATGAGTGGATGCGTGAGTGAATGTGTGAGTGAGTGAGTGAGTGAGTGAGTGAGTGAGTGAATGAGTGAGTGAGTGAGGAGCAGGTGATTCGCCAAGAAGCCCTCTGCCTGCTCAGGAGTTTGGGAGAGAGTGAGTTGCAGAGGATGCAAAGTGGCTGGTTCAACGCTAAGTCCCTGCTTGAGAACCGCGGAGAGCAAGGGGGAAGGCCGCGAGAGGAAGAACGGGTTTTGAGATAGAGAGCTTGGCGGGTGGAAGGACGCTGTGGATGGTACAGGGGTGAGCCAATCACGCACACCAGGGGACCTTGAAAGACTTGACGGCCCCATCCAAGCAGCAAGAAACGTGAAAAACTTGATGCGACTAACACTGCGCACTCAATCAGTCACGTCACCTGTATTTCAAGCCATGTGCTTTTCAGCATGATTGGCACATACTTCAACTGTGCATGTGTACTTGAAGCACAGTCCAAGATGACTTTAGTGTGGACTCAAAAGTCACTTAGTGCTTTTCAGCATGATTGGCACATACGTCCACTGTACTGTGCATGTGCACTTGAAGCACAGCCCAAGCGCCACTCACTCACCCTCTTGGTCACTTCTGTGACGAATTCGTCCACAAGGGACTGCACGTTGGGCAACCCCCCATAGGGATTGTCCTGAGCAGGGGGAAAGGGCAGTGGGGGAATAGAAGAGCAGAGCGGGCATGGAAGAGCAGAGGGCGTGCAATGCAAGGCGTACTCTCATGATTGACTTTTGAGGTGCCTCAAAAGGTGAACTCTCAGGATTGACTTTTGAGGCGCCTCAAAAGGTGAACTCTCAGGATTGACTTTTGAGGCGCCTCAAAAGGTGAACTCTCAGGATTGACCTGAACAAGTGGGAAACGACAGGCTGAGGGGGCATGGGAGATGGATGGGCGTGCAAGCGAGCAGGGGTGGCTGTGGAAGTGCGACATGGCATGAGAGGAGGGGGAGAGATACGGTTGCAGAGTGAAAGGGGGGCGTGAGCTGCAAGGGGGTCCAGAGCGCACAGGGAGAGGGATCCATGCAGGTGACTAGCCGAAATACCTAGAGTTTTGGAAGGCATGGTGGTGCAAGGCATGGTGGTGGAATTCAATGATTGGGTTTGGTGGGCAGAGAGAGGGGCTTGGCTACGGGAGAGGTGCACATGCAACATGCTTGACCACTGTAGCAGAGCAGAGCTGCACGTGCAGAGCAGCAGAGGGGCACGTGCAGAGCAGCAGAGGGGCACGTGCAGAGCAGCAGAGGGGGCGACTGAGCACCTGAATGCGGTAGGAGGAACTGTCTGAGTCCTGGTAGCGGAACTGAGGCGGTGAGTAGTAGCCGTCATACGATACCATTCCCAGCACCTGGGGGAGGGGGTTGCGATGATTGGATAAGTGGGGTGGCAGCAGGAAGGAGAGAGATTGAGAAAAATCGAGGGCGAGCAACTGGAGAGGAGAGGAGACCATCCTCCCAGCACCTGGTTGGCAGGGGGGGTTGGGAGGAGAGGTGAGCAAAATTGAGTGACAAGGCATGGAGTGACAAGGCATGGAGTGACAAGGCACGGAGTGACAAGGCATGGAGTGACAAGGCATGGAGTGACAAGGCATGGAGTGACAAGGCATGGAGTGACAAGGCATGGAGTGGAGGAAAAGGGAGTAAAAGGGATGGAGGAAATTGGGTGGAGGAAAAGGGGTGGAGGAGGAGACAGGTATGGTGAACTTGGTGTGATCAACCTAATCGAGATTCGAAACGCACTCATCTGGCTGTCCTTCCGACGCCCCTTACTGCAGCACGAACTGTAGTGCTGTTTGAGAATTCTCAAAAGTGACCCCCAAATTCTCGAAAGAGTTCTCAGAAGACACTAACCGTAGTGCCGACTAAGAATTTTCATTCTTACTGTCATGTGAGCTGTTTCTCCTGTTCAATCCACGGTAGCACACACCATCACACTCCTGATTGTCTCCCTGTTGCCCCGTCCCATGCCACCTGCCTGCCACAGGAACTGCCTTTTCCTGGCGGTCATGAGAGCCTACTTCTCCTGTTTGGAACCCAGCAGCACACACACCCACCCACCCTACCATTCGCGCAGCCTCACGCACCTACCTCTCAGCACCATCACATGCAGCCCACCTGGTTGTCTCTCTGACTTGCCCCCTCGGCTCGCCACATACAATCCATTGTTCTGGCAGCCAAGCAATTTGCCCTCTCCTGCTCCCCATATCCCCCTTTTGCCTCACCCTGCTATTCGCACAGCTCGTCGCATACCACACACACACACGCACACACACACGCACGCACACACACACACACACACACACACACACACGCACGCACGCACCTGGTTGTCCCTGTGCCCTGCCCCCTCGGCACGCCACATGAACTCCATTGTCTTGGCAGCCAAGCGCGACTCCTTCTCCTGCTGGTCCACCCTCCCCATGAACACCGCTTCTAGCCCTGCCTGGTGCGCATGCGTGTGGAGAGGGGTGTGTGGAGGGGAGTGTGTGGAGTGGGGTGTGTGGAGAGGGGCGTGTGGAGAGGTGTGTGTGGAGGGGGGTGTGTGGAGTGGTGTGTGTGGGGGGAAAGAAAGAACGCAGGGGGTTGACGGAGGGGCCGGTCATGCGAGCGCTGCTCCACCGTCCCCATGAACACCGCGTTCAGTCCCCGCTGGTGGGGGAAAAGGGATGGGGGGGCGCAAAAGGGTTAGGGGTGGGAGGGCGGTCAACCGAGTCTCCTTCTCCTACTGGTCCACCGTCCCCATGAACACCGCGTTCAGTCCCGCTGGTGGGGGAAAAAGGGATGGGGGGGCGCAAAAGGGTTAGGGGTGGGAGGGCGGTCAACCGAGTCTCCTTCTCCTACTGGTCCACCGTCCCCATGAACACCGCGTTCAGTCCCGCTGGTGGGAAAAGGGGCACGGGGTGGAATGTGTGGGCCAACATGTGCGTTGCCCTCTCTGAGGGGGTTGAAACGGGAGGGACGGTGCTTCTTCTGCTGATTCGCCCTCCTTAAGGACATTGCGTTGGGCCCGACTGTTGGAGATGTGTGTGTATACCACACGCACACACACACACACGGTTGTCCCTCTGCCTTGCCCCTCGCCCTCCTGCGTCTGGGCCCGACTGTTGGAGACGTGTGTGGGAGGGGGAGGGGAGGGGGGGGGGGGGGCGGCAGAAAACGGGATGGGGGGGGACGAGGGCGGAGGTTGGAGGGAAAAGCTCCGCCCTCCCTGTGAAAAGCTCGACCAACCCCAACTGGTTGAGACGTGGGACGGGAGCATTGAGGGGAGAGGACAAAGGGGAGGGGACGCGGGAGGTGATGGGGGGAAAAGAGAGCAGGATGGCACCAGGATGACCACCACTTGCACCTCACCTGCAGGCCGCACCTACCAAGTGCCAACTGTCCCGGCTGCACCTAGCACTTGCCACCTGTCCCGGCCGCACCTATCAAGTGCCACCTGTCCCGGCCGCACCTATCAAGTGCCACCTGTCCCGGCCGCACCTGAACGGTGATGAGGCTGGCTTGGGTGGTGGAGTGGCCAGAAAGGGTCGATCTGCCAGGCCAGGAGATGCGCGGGTTGGAGTAATCCCCAACGTCCAGGGTTGAATACCTACGCGCACCCGTCACTTACTAGCACCAGCCAGCAGCACCCCTGCCTTTCTCCCGGTGCACTTGGGGTGATGTGACGAGGCTGGCAACTGCACCTCACCTATACCACACCAACCAGCACCACCCCTGCCTTTCTCCCAGTGCACCTGAGCAGTGATGAGGCTGGCTTGCGTGGCGGAATGGCCGAAGGGGTCGATCTGCCAGGCGATTCGCGGGGTGACGTTGAATGCGGCCTTGAGGAAGCGGTGCCCCATGGCCATCTGATGCACCATGTCCGTGTAGTGCGTGCACGCCTCATCATGCATCACCCACCCGCCGTTGCTGCAAGTCACAGGACGTGGAAGGAACGTGAAAGGCACTTGGAAGGCATGTGAGGGGAGGGAAGGGAATGAGCGGTGACACATGGACATCTGATGCTCCATGTCCGTGTACTGAGTGCACGCCTCGTTCTGCATCACCCACCCGCCGTTACTGCGCACACAAGGCACGTGCAAGGCACATGAAAGGCACATGGAGGGCGTTCGTGTGTAGGGTGGGGGAAAGGGGACAGGACGGGGGCCAGGGAGGGGAGGTGAAGCGGTGCCCCATGGACATCTGGTGCCCCATGGACATCTGGTGCACCATGGACATCTGATGCACCATGGAAATCTGATGCACCATGGACATCTGATGCACCATGGACACCTGGTGCACCATGGACATCTGGTGCACCATGGACACCTGGTGCACCATGGACATCTGGTGCACCATGGACATCTGGTGCCCCATGGACATCTGGTGCACCATAAAAACTGGCCTATTTGAAGAACGAACTAACTTCAGCCACCCCAACCCAGTACTTTGTCGAGGCGCATGCCTCTTCACTTACATGAACTCCAATTGACCAGAAGCCACCAGCTTCCGTACTCTGTCCCGCATTGGTTCGTTCTGACGTTCCCACCAACGATAGAAAAACCCCTGCAGGCACAAACATATCAGGAAGAACATGCTGACCTTTTTTCACTCTGGACTAAATGAAAACGGCTGAACCCATTTCAAAAAAGGATGAAGAATCAGCTTCTGTGTTATGGACCGTCAGAATTGATGTCTCAGAAGTTTCGGACACAAAACAGGAAGCTACATGTAGTCGTAAATTTCACTTAACCAAGTCAGCACTTTCCTTGCCAGATCTAAAGCTCAGCAAATCTAAGCAGATAGCGCTAGCATGCAGTCATAAGGCGACGTTGACCCTAATCAACCTTCGCCAGAAGATGGTCTCACCTGCTCGACCTGAATGAACTTGCGGTCAGGATTGTCCGAAAGCTGGTCAACAACGGTCTCGATGATGTACTGTACCGTGTCGACCTGCATTGATGTACGACGAAATAGAAACAGGGTGTGGATGAAGATTAGCCTTTCAAAGGCTTCCATTCTTCATCGCTTCTCAGAGTGAAATGACTACACGGAACCACGTCATACAAACCACGTCAATGCTTTTCATGACAGGAACGTCCTACGCTCTCTGGATCCCAAGGACCGATGTTTGAAAATTTCAAGTCCTACGCTAGATTCAGGGCTTCACAACTCTGCTCAGATTCCTTTCTTAGAAGCGCAGCCTTTAGGCGTTTCAAGATCCATAGCGAAATCCTTCGAAATCCATAACTTATGACATTTTCGGAAAGCAATGCGGTAGCAGCGAGGACACCGGACGAGTTCAAGCTGCAGTGAGGACTCCTGACAGAGAGTAACGCAGAATCCGAACTTCAAACTCCCAAGCTCCGGCATTTTTCGGAGTCCGTACTCACGTAATACTGATCAATGGTTTTCAACCAGCCGAGATCGTCGTGCGAGTGAGCCACCAAGTGTACGTTCAGCTTTCCGTCCACTACTACAGCGCTCGTGTTGTAACGAAACGGTACGAGCTCCTCAAACGAGGAAAGAGCTTCAAACCGGCGCGAACCGCTGCCTGTACTGCGAACCGGCGCGATCGATGCCTGTTCGTCCTGAACCGCTGCTGTATCTACCCTGTCAAAGGATATCGGAAAGCGTGGTGACAGTGACTGCTGCAGCATCAGCAAAGTGAAGCCCGTCAAGACGCCTATAACGAACGGCGGCACGAGCACTGCGGCTCGATTCGACGTCATCACGGGCGCGCTCACCTTTGGTACTACAAGAGCCCTGATGAGGATAAATACTAACGGAAAGAAGCGGCTTTCTCGAATTCAATGGAAGGGGAACACTTTTGCCATACTAAATCGTGTAGCTTCAGCAGCGCTGGCTTACTGGGATCCCAGACTGCTGGAAACTCGCTACTGCACAATGAGCGAATCACAGAACTTCATTTTGAATCAGGGTGCATGTGGTGGGTTGCGAGGGGTTGGAAGTGATGAAGCACAGACATGAACCACCTTGATGGGCAAGGAGGGGTGAATTCAGGTGGTCACCAGCTACCCTGTGATCGTTGGTGGAGGTTGAAGGTTGCTTGTAAGGAAAGTGACATTGGAGCGCTGCTTTGGCGGAGCTGACGTTGAGTTTGCCGAGGTAGATGACCGTACTTAAAACCTCTGTATCAAACAACACCACCTGCAAACCATTCCACAGGGTACCGAACGGCTGCGGGCCTCTGGAATGTGGGTTCGTGTATGTGTCAGAACTGTCACCAATCACTTCGGCGCGGCTACACTCACATACACCCCGCTCCTTTTGAATTCGTTCAGGATCTGCTGTTCCACTTCGTACCACAAGGGATGGTTTTCAGGGGGGAGCGTTGTATGTTAGTTTCGGTGTTCACCGTTTCCAACCATTGCGCACCATACTGAAACTTTTAGTGACTACGCAGGGTCTTGAGTCCAGCGGGATACGCTGTCCAGCGGTCCAGAGTGGTGAAGCAAGTAAACCGTTCTGGAGCGCACATTACATTTTTCAACCGCTTCAATGGAACAGAACGCCAACTCTCATGGCTACCTTGCTTGACCCAGCAAGACACTCGTGAGAAAACCCGACCCGCAGCGACCCAGTTCACATTCTTTTCGTTGACATGGCTGGCAACAGCTCAGCGGGAGCCAATGCACAAGCTCAGCACAAGCCAATGCATCCTTCTCACCTCAATCATCCCAGCAACGAGCTGCCCTAGACAGTCCAGGTTCTCGTTTCTTACAACACAACTATTTTTTTCTAGGTCTACGTTCGTAATCTGGAGTCGCTGCTTGGTGCATTTGTAGTTTGCTAAGATCTCCTCACGTGAGGCCACGCTTCCAGCGAAGCTATACCGACGTTCTCTTCCACGTGCGTCTCTCACCCATCGTCGAGGGACGTCACTCTCCCGTCATAAACATGTCGTCGCCCATTATCACTACTACTACTATTAATAATAACCCGAAAATAATAATTGCCTTTTTTATTTTCTCCCTCCTGCTCATCGCCGCATCCACTAATTTCTTCACCAGTAACAGCTCACACAGCTACGACCTCCCCATCCCCGTCAAGATCTACGGACCAGATGAAGCCGTCCTCCTCTCTCTCAAATCCCATTGGACCGGCTTCCAATACGCCGACTCCTGGATAGAAGGCACCAACTGCTCCACGTGGCACGGCGTCTACTGCGACTCCACCTCCGGCGCCGTCACAGACCTCGATCTCACCAGCACGTCGCTCAACGGCACGATCCCGCCCGCGATTGGAAATCTAACGGCTCTCACGAGCCTGGTGTTCAAGGGGAACACGCTCACGGGGACTCTTCCGTCGTCCATTGGTCTGCTAACCCGCCTGCAGACTCTGTTCATTTCCGACAACGGTCCCGGCTTGCGCGGGAGCATTCCGGCCGCACTCTCGCGTTTGTCGAACCTCGACTATTTGGATCTGCCGCGAAACCGTTTCTCGGGTCCCATCCCTGAGTTTATCCTAGGCGGGACGATGAAGAAATTAATCTCCTTCGATCTCTCCGCGAATCGCCTCACGGGAAGCATTCCGGGGGGGATGCTCAGCGGCCTTTCCGGTCTGAAGCATCTCGGTATTGCCGACAACCGGCTGACTGGTAGCATTCCGACGGAGATCGGCAAGCTGACGGCGCTGAGGATCCTGCTGATTGACAAAAACCGGTTGGAAGGGCCGCTGCCGTCAAGTCTGAAGGCGTGTACTGGTCTGAAGTTGCTGGCGGCTGGAGATAACCGTTTGGGGGGCCTGCTTCCTGTGAACACTCTGTTGCAACTGACGCAGCTGGAGAGCCTTTTTCTGCATAGCAACGGCATTGTTGTTACTTCGCTAGCCTCTCTCGTGCTCCACCCGACGCTGAGAAACGTCGAGCTGAGCCTAAACAAGGTCGCTCCGCGAATCCTTGCAACCGTTGGGCGAATGAAAAGCATTGAGTTCCTGAATCTGTCGAGAAACGGGCTGTCAGGATCTGTTCCAGCGTCTCTTCTAGCCTATCAGCCGAAGCTGCGTGCACTCGACCTGTCTTTCAACAGGCTCTCGGGAAGCTTCCCTTGGACTGAGCTGCGAGGCGCGCCAGAGTTAGTGTGGCTGAGCATCCAGAGCAACATGCTTTCCGGCAGAGTTCCAGAAGATCCGTTCAAGGGGCTCTTCATTTATAATCTCAACATGTCGAACAATTTCTTCGGGGGATGTTTGCCCAATTTCGGTATGCCAGACAGGGATTGCAATCTAGACGCGAGTAACAATTTCTTCTCGGGCAGACCAGAGATACAGTCGTGGGGAAAACGAGTCTGCCCGATCGAAGTGCCTGACGACGACTACTACGAAAACGCGCACCTCAATGTGTCTCGCAACTGCCTTTCGCCTGTGCCTGGTTGCAACGTTACACCGCAACGCAGGCCTGCTTCGTGCGCGGCATTCTGTGGCACGAATGGAAAGTCGGGAGCGTGCGGAGGGCATGGTACGTGCCAGCCTACACCAGTGGGTGGGAAGACCAGGTGGCGATTTTCCTGCGTGTGCGATGATGGTTACTCGTTGAAGGCGCCGAACGTGTTTGTGTGTGAACGCACAGCAGCAGCTATGGCCAAAGAAGCAGGATCCTAGCAGAGGGGATAAGGAGGGGATCAAATTGACTTCGCAGCAGAGGCACAGAAGTCATGAATATCCAATAGGGCAAGTCTTTCTGCAGGCTGTTTTGTTGATGGGGGGAGTATTGCCAATTTAATGCCATGCTGAGTAGGATGACGTTTTGCATGCGCTTGAGAAATTGGTCTTTTCAGCCGCTTTTGCCTTGCAGCGCCCATCACGCACCCACTGCTTCTCCTACTACTGTTCATGGTTCGGTTACTTTACGTGTTCCTGCTACTGTTCATTCCCCAGTTACTGTTCATGGTCCTGTCACTTGAATCAGGAGCAGCAGCAGCAGTCGAAGAAGCATCATTGGTAGCAGTACAAGCGGAATGTCTAGTACTGGTTGTGTGTGGACTGTAGATAATCGTCAAAGGCTACTTTGCTGTTGACTCGCTACAAGCAGATCCTACTGATGTGAAAAAGGAAGAGAGGAGGATAAGGGAGGCAGAGAGGGGATAGGTGAGCAGGCTCAGGTGGTGGGGGGGCTGAGGAAGTGTGGAGTGTGGGAGAGAGTGTTGGAGGGAGTGTGTGAACGAGTGTAGGATGGAATGTGTTGGAAGATTTCAAAGTGGGTTTGGTGCTAGTGCGATACAGGAGGTGGGGATAGGAGAGGCAGGCAGCAAGCGGGGGCGAACGGGGCAAGGGCAGTTGGGCGGAGAAAAAAGCGAAGGAGGAAACAGAGGAGAAAGCTGGGAACGGGTAACGAGGAGGAGGAGGAGGAGGAGGAGGAGGAGGAGGAGGAGGAGGAGGAGGAGGAGGAGGAGGAGGAGGAGGAGGAGGAGGCGGAGGAGGAGGAGGAGGAGGAGGAGGAGGAGGAGGAGGAGGAGGAGGAGGAGGAGGAGGAGGAGGAGGAGGAGGAGGAGGGGGGGGGGTGGGGGGAGGAGGAGGAGGAGGAGGAGGAGGAGGAGGAGGGAGGAGGAGGAGGAGGAGGAGGAGGAGGAGGAGGAGGAGGAGGATGAGGAGGAATAAGAGGGAGAGGAGGAGCTCAAGTAGGTGCTTCTTTGGGGGCTGGTCAGTTCAGTGCTGCAGCTGGCTCCACCCGTGCTCCATGTGCTTGGAATCGCGGCTCTAACCTGGCTGGTATGCTCTTCTTTCCTGCTCTTCGATGCTGATTGGATGGGCCGAGAGGGCTTTGGGGGCATGAGCAACCATAGAGAATTTGGGGTACCAGCAGCTAGTGCAGCAGCGACTACACCAGCTAAAGCTGCTGCTGGTGGTAAAGCAACTGGTGCAGCTACTGCTACTTTAGCAGCTGGTACTTTTGCTAGTGCTGTATTGAGTGGAGCGGCTAGTGCTAGTAGTGAGGCGGCTCTTGGGGCGTACAGCTGGGCAGTGAGGTTCGGAGTTGAGTGCTAGGCCTAGTGCTGTGCTTGGTGGACAGCGAGTGTCGAGCGTCAGAATCATTGCCTTTGAGGCGTCCGTTTCAAAGTTTGATTCCCTTTTCTGGTGGTCTGGGTCAAGAAATCTTTTGGGCAGTGCGGAATTGGTGCTTGCTGTTTGGGAAGTGGGGAATTTGGTGCTAGCGGTTTGGGCAGTGGGGAAATTGGTGCTTGCGGTTTGGACAGTGCGGAATTTGGTGCTTGCGGTTTGGGCAGTGCGGAATTTGGTGCTTGCGGTTTGGGCAGTGGGGAATTTGGTGCTTGCGGTTCGGTTAGTGGGAAATCTGTTGGTTACTGTTTGGGCAGTAGGAAAAACGGTTGGGAAGAGGGAAATATGGTGCTTGCTGTTTGGTTAGTTGGGAATCTTGAACCCTGTGTAGTGCTGCCGCAGCATGGGAAAGATGAATAGAAGGAGGAGGAACAGAGGGGGAAGATGAAGATCCATATAAGCAGCAGAAGCAAGGACCTTGGAATTTGGAAACTGATAGGCGCACAGAAACTCGGATGCTCTCGAGTCGCAGCCTGTGGTGTCGCACCAACAATGCTGCTGCCTGCCGCCATTCTCAGTGTTGTCACGCCACGCCTCACAAAGACTTCAGACATACTCCAGTAAGCTGTGAGAAAGAAAGCTGCTCTCACCATCGTTGCTGTCATGCCTGTGAAGGACTTCCGGAATGCCTCTTTTCTGACCTGGCGGCGCCCAGGTGGCTAAGGGATCTCCCTCACCATCTTCGAGGTCCTGGAGCGGAGTTTCTTGAGGCGCCTCAAAAATGGGCTGAGGTGAGTCACCCATCCCATGGCGGTGAGTCACCCATCCCATGGCGGTTTGGGCAGTGACAAAGCCTCCAGTAAGTTGTGGGAAAGAAAGCTGCTCTCACCATCGTGACTGTCTGTTTTTGAGGCGCCTCAAAGAACCTTGTCAGTGCTCTCATGCCTGCAAAGGACTTGAGGAATGCCCTGCCCCTTTGCTGACCTGGGGGCGCCCATGCGGCTAAGGGAGCTCCCAGGAAGTGACTCACCTCACCATCTTTGCTGTCCTGGGGCTGAGGTGAGTCACTCATCCCATCACATGGAGGTGAGTCACCCATCCCATGGAGGTGAGGCACCCATCCCATGCAGGTGAGTCACCCATCCCATGCAGGTGAGTCACCTCTCCCATGGAGGTGAGTCACCTCTCCCATGGGGGTGAGCGGACTCAGGAAGTACTTTAGAACCGTCGCTTACATGTCCTTAAAGTAGATGTTACAGCTTACATGTTTCCACAATACGTGTTACAGCTGACATGCCTCCACCCTCCATGTATCCCAGGTGACCTTCAGTACCCTCTTCTTCCTCACTTTGACCTTCTCCACGAAGGTCAGGGCCTGGCAGTTGGTTTGCAACCATTGTCCCTCGTGCTATGCCTCCCACCCATTCCATCCACTATCTCCCATCTCACCATCTCACCATCTCCCATCTCCCATCTCCCATCTCCCATCTCCCATCTCCCATCTCCCATCTCCCATCTCCCATCTCACCATCTTCCATCTCCCATCTCCCATCTCACCATCCCCCATCTCCCATCTCCCATCTCACCATCTCCCATCTCCCATCTCACCATCTCCCATCTCCCATCTCCCATCTCCCATCTCCCATGTCACCATCTCCCATCTCCCATCTCACCATCTCACCATCTCCCATCTCACCATCTCCCATCTCCCATCTCACCATCTCACCATCTCCCATCTCACCATCTCCTATCTCACCATCTCACGATCTCCCATCTCCCATCTCCCATCTCCCGTTTTCTCTCACAACCTTCACCACCACAAATTCTTCTCCATACCGCATCCCATCCATCCCTCAAGGTGGCCTACAGCCTCCCATTCTCCCTCACAACACAGCGCCCTTCACCATCAGAGGAGGTGTAGAGGGGTAGGCCCTGGCAGCTGGTCTATTTGCCTGATGTTCCACTATTGTCCAGCATGCTTTGCCACCCATCCATTCCATCCGCCATCTCCCATCTCACCGTCCCCCATCGCCAATCCCTCCAGGTGACCTACAGCCTCCCATTCTCCCTCACAACGTCCTTCTCCTCCAGAGGGGATGGAGGAGGGCAGGTCCTGCCTTGTGATTGGCAATAACTGTTGCCTTGACGCTTGATCTTCAACACACCATCCACCTGAATAATTCCCCACCCACCATTCCTCCAGGTGACTTAAAGCCTCCCATTCTCCCTCACAGCGTCCTTCAACCAGAGAGCGGGCATTGGAAAGGGCTTGGCAGCTGGTCTTCTCAACATTGCCATATCCTTTTCTCAGGTGAAACCCCATGTGCTCTTACTGTGCCTCAGGTGGATGGCCAGGTGTCTCGTTATGTCTTTGGTGAATTTCATGTATTTGAATTTGTGTCCTTTCCCAGGTCATTCTATTGTGCCTGCTTTCCTCATGGTCCCTAGAGTCCTCGTGATTGTAATGAGCATTACTTCATTCATACTTTCAGTAACTTGCAATTACAGTGAGATTGTGGCTCTAATTGCGGCTACTGGCGCCATTTTCCTGCCTCGCATGAGAAACAATTTTCCAACTGTTTTTTTTTCTTTTCTTTTCTTTTCTTTCTTTCTTTCTTTTTCTTTTCCAGCTGAATCGCACATGTTTGTCTCTTTCCACCATGGCTGCTGCTGTCACCTACCGCCACGCCCTGCCCAACCCTGTCTGTCCTCCTGCACTGCCCCCTTGTCCTTTGCCACTCTCGTTTGTGTCATCCATCAGGCTGCTTGATGCAATCTTGAGCGGTGGCAACCTTCCTGGCTTCATGGCAGCTTATGTCTTCGCTCCTGGTGTCACTCATTTCTCGTGACCCTCTTATTGCTACCCACCTGCCCGGCTCTGCCTGTCCTGCACTGCCCCGTTGCTGGTTCTTCGGCTGTTTGTGTCATTGGCCATCGGGCCGCCTGATTCATTATTTTTCCTGACCACACAATAATTGGGCATTGATGCCTTAGGTGTCAAATGTTGTAGCCTATAGTGAGGTTTGTCTTAGGGGGTACAAAACTTAGGGTTAGCTATATGTACCCCAACCAACATCAATGCATCATCCATTCTTCATTTTGACATGGTATCAGTTAGGTTAGGATCCTGTGGGATCCCGTTCCTCCGTTCTCCGTTCGAGCCTCCCGAGCCTGATCCTAGCTCTCATTCGTCCCGGTTCCGTTGTTACCGCGCGTAGTGCCGAGCCTAGCGCCAATCCTAGCGCCCGTCCGCGCCACCCGTTCCCCTCGTTCCATAGAGCCCGCCCTTACCCCCCGTCGCGTCGCGTTCCCCCCCCACGTCGTGTCGCGCCAGTTCCCCCCGTCGCGTCGCCGCCCATTCCCCCCGTCGCGTCGCGCCTTTTCCCCCCGTCGCGTCCTGCCCGCCCTTTCCCCCTCGTCGCGTCCCTTTCCCCCCGTCGCGTCCTGCCCGCCCTTTCCCCCCCTCGTCGCGTCCCTTTCCCCCCGTCGCGTCCTCCCCGCCCTTTCCCCCCTCGTCGCGTCCCTTTCCCCCCGTCGCGTCCTCCCCGCCCTTTCCCCCCTCGTCGCGTCCCTTTCCCCCCGTCGCGTCCTCCCCGCCCTTTCCC